TTTCCACTTTTTTGCATATTATTTTAATCATATTGAACATTATAAAGTTGTACAGCAAAATTGAACCTGCTACATTTAAAAATGGTGACACAATGACAATTTAAGTGATCAATCTAGTGTCAAAAAAGGTGAAATTTTGCCCTTTGTGAAGCGCAAGAAATTCACATAAATACACTTTTTCAAAATGGCCGCCAAATTGGTCATTTCTTTCAAATTCTTGTAAAAAATGTTCTACACACAACAGACATCTAGTTTTTTGACATGTTTTTCATACGTGTGTTTGCTATTAAACCTATCATAATTTGATAAATATTACAAAAACCCATTACACCAGATCAAAACGAGACTTGAACGTGACTGAAACCTCAGAAGAGTACATCCTTAAGGTATATCGTCCTATCAAATTCAAACTATAATATTGAAATATTCCTGACATGTCGTTTTTGTACTTGGGGCAAATGATCAGATAATATACAAGTAACCTCTGCGGTCCCTCTAGTCCAATTATTCTGATGTTTTGTAGACTTTTTTTATATCGGTCTGGCGTCGATTAATGCCAGACCGATTTTTTAAAAAGTCGATAAAACGTCGGAATATTCGGACTAGGGTCCCTTAAGGAACCTGTTTGGGCCCATCCTCTTCCTCATCAATACAGTACACTGAGGCTCTTTGCAGACGACAGCATCATATACAAGACGATAAACAATGAAGAAGACACACTAAAACTACAACATGACCTTGGCGCAGCAGGACAATGGGTGACAGACTGGTTAATGAAATTTCACCCTGACAAATGCAACGTATTCAACATTACACCGAAACGCAACAAAATACACTATGACTACAAACTCCACAACCACACATAACACCAAGTAGAATCCAGCAAATACTTAGGCTTAACATTTCAAAAAAAACCTACGATGGGACAAACATATTAACAACATTACAGCCAATGCCAATAGGTCCCTAGGTTTTCTAAAACGCGACTTAAAAATAAACTCACCACATATAAAAGAACACGCATACAAAGGACTAGTTAGACCAAAACTTGAATACTGCTCTTCCATTGTACACAACACAAACTAGATTAAACAAATAGAAAAGACCCAACGAAGAGCAGCACGCTACGTAAACAACAGATATACCACAACACCAGCTCAGTAACAGACAAAATGGCCAACAAGCAGGCAGCCATCTTAGATTTTGACAGTAAAGATTTGCTATTGCTATTTGTCAGGAATTACTGAAGGGATTTCTCTCAAATAAGATATGTAGGTTCCCCTTGGTCTGTAGTTGTGCATGTTTACATTTGAGACTGATCATATAAACAAAATGGCCGACAGGTGGCCATCTTCGATTTTGATATCGAAGGTTTTTTAGGTCACCTGAGACAAAGTCTCAAGTGACCTATTGCGATCACCTTTTGTCCGTCGTCGTCCGTCGTGCGTCCGTAAACAATTTACATTTTCGACTTCTTCTCCAAAACCCCTGAACCAATTTCAATGAAATTTTGCAGGGACCTTCTATGGACAAAGGTCAACAAAAACAGTTGCCGGTTTAGTCCTAAGCCCCCAGGGGCCTGAGGGGCGGGGCCAAAAAGGGTCAAATTGACTAAAATTTCAAAAATCTTCTTCTCCAAAACCCCTGAACCAATTTCAATGAAATTTTGCAGGGACCTTC